TCTATCTATCTATCTATCTATCTATCTATCTATCTATCTATCTATCCATCCATCCATCCATCCATCCATCCATCCACCCACCCATCCATCCACCCACTCACCTTTCCCCTGGTATCAAACTACATTCCGCTTTCTTTTTGCTGTCAAGTTTTGAATGTAACTTTCCTTTCTCATCTTCCCCAGAATTTGGAATATCTTCTATCAAATCATCTTCCAAGTCAGAATCAAATCCTGAAGTTAAAAACTCATCCACACTCAAGTCAGCCAGTTTTTTGCTTCTGAAAAGGAGAGAGAGAATTCAAAAATAAATAAATACATTTTTATTTATCGATGGTCTCATTTAGAAAGGCCAATGCATGTTAGAAATGCTTCGCCCCATTTCCAAGTTAATTTCACACTAGTGACACTATTTGCACATGAGAAAATCTTAAGACTATGCAAACTCCAATACACAATGAAAATTTAAGGCTGTTTTTCACACTTGCTTTAATTGTATACCACCCAAAGTCAGATCCGTGAGATAGGTAGCTCTAGTGGTTTGATAAATGCAAGAAAATAAATTGAAGGCAAAACACTATCAATAAATATCCTGAATTACTTTATAATGTATTAAGTAATCATCTATGATTTATAATTTATTTATAACAATTCATTATTAGGGGTTATTGTTATTGCTTCTCCTGAGTTCTGAATCCCATTTAATTGCCCAGAGCTACTGTGGTGACTAAATAAATAAAAATAAATGAAATAAACCCACACATTTGCACCTATCACTTTCAAGTGTCTCCCTGAAATCATTCTGTTCCCCAAATTGAATTCACTAAAAGTGCCTCAAAATTCTTGGGCCCACAAATTACAAAAACGGGTTTAAAAAATGGTATTTCTGCATTTTTAAATCAGGGGCTTTCAAAACTGAACAGGAAAAGAGGGAAAATATAAAAAATGGCCTTTTAGTCCTCAGTTTATCAATAGTGACATGGTGGTGATAGGTCTCTACAGCCAAAAATGACATTAAAATATCAATGACATTAAAATATTATCTTTCTGGTTTACTTAGAATTGTTTCCCAATATTTTAAGTCTGCCAGCCTAAATTTTACACTTTAAAAAAAAATTCATTAAAAAATAAAAATTAAGTTGCCTCAGAAGCCAGCCTACATTTTACATTTTTAAAAAA